TCTGGCTTCCACACCATCAATGAGTTTCGAACCCGTGACCTGCAGTTTTTAGTTTCAATTTTGACTTAATAATATTTTCATACATATTTTATTATTTTAAAAAATGATGGACGTATTATTTAATTTGTCTTGAGCTTTAAAAACAAAGCATCTTTTCATTGGGGTGAACCGAATGTGATGTTTATGGGTAATTTGGTAATAAAAGTGGTGTTCTTTAGAAAAAGTTAAAACTAAATCTTTTTAGTGAGATGTTAATAAAAACTAGGGTGAACCAAACGTACATCCTCTTCGTTGTGAGATAAAAGTTGTGTGGAGTTCAGTTGCCATTGGATTTTGTTAAGTGACACTAGAATCCAGTTAAACACGACACATAGTAAGTTTTTAAAATATAATATCTTATCATTCTTCTATTTTAAAATTTTCATAATTATCTTTTTTACTAATAATATACACCATGAGATTAATCTAACCGTTCATATTTTTTTCCTCTCCTTTCTTCTATTTTTCCTTCTCTCTGCCGTTGCAGTCTTCTTCCTAGTTTCTTTCCTTGCTTCATAAGGACACGAGGAAAAGAAAAGCCAATCTTCTCCAACTATAATGGAACGAAAAGAAAAAGAAAAAAAAAATCAATTTCAGAAACATAGGTAAAATAATCTTGATCCCCAACTGCATCTTAATTGAGAAAATCCACCCACGATCTAAATTTGAGGCTACTGCTCGTCAAGGTAGAAGAAAAGAAAAGGAAAACAAACTTACAGACAATTTAATATATTTTTGTGATATTCAATTTTGTCGTTAGTCAAAGTAGATACTATAATTCATTTTTATTGATGAAATATTAGCATTGTGGATGCTTTTTGTTTACATTCATATTCTTATGAAGAAAGGAAAGAAACATACATGCACAACCATTCATATTTTGCTGAACACGAAAAAAACTTTGTAGTAGGATTTAAGTGCTATATTTTATATTTTGATTTCATTTTTTTTTTCTAATTTTCCTGTGTAATATACTACATGATTTTCAAGACTATGCAAAGCTCTAATTAAATTTATATTTTCTGGGGCTCGTTTAACTAGCCTAATGAAAAAGACTTAAATTTTAATGAAAAAGACATAATTTTAATATTAAAAATTTTAAAAAAAATTGACGTAATGACCAGTGCGTCATCAGAAAAACTGTTTATGAAACTTACTACACTATTTATGAAACTTAACGGTATCACACCATTTATGAAACTTAATGATACTACAATGTTTATGAAACTTATTATATTGTTTATGAAACTTAACAGTACTACTGTGTATATATGTATATTATTTCTTTTGCCTTAAGTAGGTACAAGTGAAATCTACATACATTACTTATATATATATATTATTTATTATATACATGAATATACACCTTACGAGATTATAGTACTAGACATGTGTTCGTGTTATCTTACTTTGTCAAAGGCCTAAAAATTAGTGTCATCGTTGTTACAGTTAGTTAATTCATACATAATATAATATATATGTGTATTTTCATATACTTTTTCTTATTTAGTTATATTTCAATTTAATATATTTTTGTGATATTCAATTTTATCGTTAGTCAAAGTAGATACTATAATTCATTTTTATTGATGAAATATTAGCATTGCAGATGCTTTTTGTTTACATTCATATTCTTAGAGCATTTCCACTGGGGGTGGGATAGGCCGGCACCCAGTGGAAAAAACAGGTTGAGACTCAGCCAATCCACTCCAGCCTGTGGAATCGACTGGCACTCAGTCCAAGCCAGTCCACAGGTCGGCCTAAAATTGACAGACATTGGGACCAGCCCAAGTGACGCCTAGCTAACGCCAGGGTGGTGTCGGAGGGCAAGGAGCCACGGAATCGGGATAAATAGATACGCTTCGGAAGTGGAAAGCTGAAAGCGTCTCTCTCTTTCTGAGACCAAATTTCCAACGTTAATATTCAATGTCTGATATTACAACAAATGTAAAGTTACACTATACAATCTAAGTTTACACAATGAAATTATTACTGTAAGATTGTGTTTATATTGTGACTTTCTATTACATTATCAAGATAGGTTGTTCCTCTTTCCTCTTCCACGATCCTCTTCACACGTCTTTACCTAACTTTTCTCTCCCTCCCCACTCCCCCCCCCCCCCCCCCGACCTCTTTTTCCTCGTCACATGTCCCCACCCAACCCTAGTCCGAACTCCATTCCTTAGGCGATCCAAAGTTTTGTTCTTTTTTTTTTTTCACTCCTTCAAGCAATGGCAACATTGCCTTTTGGGATTTTGTTAAGTGTTATTATAACTTATTATTACAGATTTATAGCCATATAATTTAGAACTTATAATTCAGTTAGGGTTCGTTACTTCAAGGCATAGAATTAGCAATTTAGTGCTCAGTATTTACAAACTAGCTAACCAAAACTGCAAACGATGAATGAGATTCCAAAAGTACATGCACGAGTGAAAATGCAATTATGTATCTAAATGTAATAATACAATTGAAAACTTAAAAGAAAAAATTTCAACAATGCGACTTGTATTATACGCTTACCCCAGCTCTACGCAACTTGCAGTTGCGTTTTTGAATGTTCTCATTCATATAGGGATGTGGATGTAGGTAAAAATCAACTACTTCTTCGCATAATGCCAAATTGCACAGCTGGCTGCTTGCCAACCCTTTACAATTAATACGGCAGTAAGAGTTATGGGAGGTCTTGTCGTGCAGCTTGGTATCTGGTCAGTTGCATGGGTTCCATGTTTGAATGGGTTTGCATGGAGAACCACGTGGAACAATGGGATAAAGGTAAAATTATGAGATAGTGAGGTACTTTTATCAAAATTTACATTTAATTTTTGTTATTTAATGTGTATTTTTATTTAATCTCTCCACATTAAATTTTAATTTTATTAATATACACATATTTAGTTTTTTTTAATTATAAAAGAACGTAAATGAGAAAATATTAAAAGAAATTTGTGATACAAAAATATATAAATACATAAGTCTACAGAAATGACTGTGCCGAAATATATAAAATTGACTTTTTTGAACGGAAATATTTGTACCTACATGATTGTACCTAAATATATTATAATGAACCTAAATGTATGTACCGAAATGTATTATATTGAATTAATATACCTAAATGTCAATACCGAAATATATGTACCAAAAATGTAAGTACCTAAATGTCAATACCGAAATGTATGTACCAAAATGTATGTACATAAATGTCAATATCGAAATGTATGTACTAAAATATATGTACCTAAATGTATGTACTGAAATATAATATATTGAATTAATGTACCTAAAAGGCAATACTCAAATGTGTGTACCTAAATGTACGTAACGAAGTGCATTATATTGAATCAATGTACCTATATGTTTGTACCGATGATATACCGACATATTCAAATGTATCAATGTACCTAAATAAAGAACATACAAAATTGTTATCGGAATATATATTATAAAAAAATTAGTCGCTTAATTGTAGTCATTAAAATATATTATGATGAATGAAATAAAAATTAAATTTAAATGTAATTAATACATTAAAATATAAAAAAAGATAAATAAAAATTGGATTTTAATCGTACACAAGGTTATAGTCTAAAACTCATCTTTTTTAAGGATTAAAATGAAGTTTTCTAAAAACAAAATCAGTAACATATAAACCTAAAATTGCAAATTAATCCAAAAATAACAAATAATTAGATAAAAATTTATAGCCGTATACATTTCTATATAATTTTTTTAAAAATGAAAAATTATGCAAGATGAATTTGTCTGTCAGAACATTTTAATTGATACTATTAGTCAAGACTCAAAAGTTGGATCTTAATTCGTTGACTGGTACGCAACTATGAATTTTTCTAGATGCTAGCAATCTACGAATTTTCCTAGATGCTAGCAAATATATAGACCGAGAAGCTAAGTTGCTTACATACATACAAAATATTAAAGTCCCAATTAAGACGTTGTGCTGGCCAATAGACCGAGAGAAAGCAAGTCATTTACATACATACAAAACTATCTCAGTCGTCCCGATTAAGACGTTACTAGCAAATATATAGACCGAGAGAAAACAAGTCAAAATTACCTCAGTCGTCCTAATTAAGATGTTACTGGCAAATATATAGGCTGAGAGAAAGCAAGTTGTCTACATACATACAAAAGTATGTCAATCCCAATTAAGACATTACTAGTAAATATATTAACTGAGAGAAATCGAGTTGTTTACCTACAAACAAAAGTATATGTCCCAATTAAGATGTTACTGGCAAATATATGGACTAAGAGAAAGCAAGTTTATATACATCCAAAAGTACTTTAGTCGTCCCAATTAAAACGTTAGTAGCAAATATATGGACCGAGAGAAAGCAAGTTGTTTACATACATACAAAATTATCTCAGTCCCAATTAAGATGTAAGAAATTTAGTAACATTTGGCTATATAGATGAGAGAATTATGTAGTACGCTACTGATAATTACTTATTTCAATGTACCTTTCCATGTTTTTGTTAAAGAAGAAAAAATTGACTATTAATTTTAAAATAATATAAAATTATATTAGCACTTTAAAAATATCATTTTGCACTCTAAATTTTTTATAATTACTTAATAAGAAAGAAAAAGATATTTGTAAAAAATGTAAAATAAGATCTTATGAGTGGTCATCAGGACATCTAACATTTTTGGAGTGGAATGAGGATCCTCTTCGGATTCACTTTGTGAGGATTCCGGGGATCTTTTAATCACGTCCGTTCATCGTACATTGTACAATCATAAATCATTATAAATTTTTTATTTAAAATTGAATATAAACAAAATAAGACAAAAAGTAAAAAGTAATGAGAATATAAAATGTTGATGTGGCTTAACCATGACCACAAAAATAGGAGGGGATGAGAGGGCAGACAATCCAAGTCCTATATATACACACACACATGCATGTAAATAGTGTACACAGTTCTCTCTCTGAGTGTCTCCCATTATTTTCTCACTACTTCCCTACTGCACAAAGACACGCACACATGCATTTGCTTTAGTTTCTCTGTTTAGAAGGCTAGGGAGGGCAGAGAATGGAGAGGGAAGATAGCTGCGGCACACAACTCATCTATGGAAACTGCGAGTTTAATTCTTATGGGCTCGACACCTTCGTAGAGAGAGTGAAGTTTCCCAAGTGTAGAGAATATGTTGTTGTTTCCATCATAGGTCCTCAGAGTGGAGGTAATGAATAAGTGATCTTTACCTTCAATATTCAGTTTGATTGGTTGCGCTCTATATATATAGTTTTCTGAAATTTGGTTGCCTACATGAAATCACAGGAAAGAGCACTTTGATGAACCATCTGTTCGACACTAAGTTTCAGGAGATGAATCCAGATAGGAGGTTTGTAATTGTGACTTATGAATTTGCACCATTTAGCACGTACGCTTATTTGTTTTCGGCACAAGTCGGTATTTGTGTGTGTATATATATACGTTTCAGGAGCCAAACAACGAAGGGCATTTGGATTGCCAAGTGTGTTGGCGTTGAGCCTTGCACCCTCGCCTTGGATATTGAGGGTACTGATGGAAGTGAGAGAGGCCAGGTAATCTTGTGTTGAGAGTAATTTGTTATGTGTTAAGAGTGTGTGTTAGCTATGAGATTAGTTTTCGTCACTAGATAACTTACTCAGTAAAGAAAATTTATGGAATTTGATACAGAAACAAACCTTAGGAGCTACTATTTGTGAAATATTGTTGAACATCCTTGGATTTACTCAATTTCCTCTGCAATTTTGGGCATTTCCAGGATGATACTGCATTCGAGAAAAAAAGCGCTCTATTTGCTATGGCAATATCCGACATTGTGATGATAAATATGTAAGTTCTTTAGTTTTCTGGGATTATTTGCGCCTTGGCTATTGGACCATTTTACTGACTTTAGTTACTCGTAAACCATACGTTTGATGTATGGATATTTCAATTGGGTAGTGGGCATGTGTGGATAGTTCATACACAACAGCTATTAGTTACTAGTAAACCATACGTTATACATATATTGACAGCTAGGACAGTATGGGAGAGAGGGAATAAGATATTGACAGTATGGAGAGAGGGAATATTGCTCGTGAAAAGGAATGATGTATATTCCTTGACAGATAGACTATCACATGGTTTTGTTGCTATGGTTTGTTGTTTATTTTTTCCCTAGTTGCTGCATCATGACAGCAAGCACAACACCTGTATTGCTTTTCATTATTGCATGCGCGTATGTAAGATGTATGTATATAAACAATGCTGCTATTGCAGCAGAAAAATAAGAATGAAAACAACAAAGTTGAAACCAAAACTTCAATATGGTATCAGAGCAGGAACCATAGGGTCCTGCCTCTGTTGATTATCTTTCTAGCCTGTTCTTCTTCCTCTGTTCATCATTTGTTGTGATGGCAGAAGATACCTCATCTAGTCATGAGGCTACAAGTTCCTCAACCTTAACACCAGCCAACATGATACACGGAGAGAGCAACCTACGACTGTGCTCTGTGTTGTTGAATGAGTTCAACTACTTGTCGTGGTCACGAGCTATATCTCTTGCCCTAGGAGGAAGATCGAAACTAGGGTACGTAAATGGAACCATCAAGCCTCCAGAGACTTCCTCAGCTACCTTTGATGCATGGCAATCAAATGACCAGCTTGTTATGTCCTGGATACTTAACTCGATGGAGCCCAAGTTGTCTGAGATCTTCAGCTACTCAGATTCTTCACACATCTTATGGGAATCGATCAAGGAAATGTATGACAGTCAACACAATGCTCGTGTGTTTGAACTGAAGAAAAGCCTCGCTGGGCTTAAGCAAGGTAATCAAACTTTCATTCAGCATCTTGGAAGCATGAAATCTATGTGGAATGAACTTGATCTATACCGTCCACACACCACTGAATCCGCTGTACTCTTGAAAAGGGCTGATGAAGATAAAGTGTTCCAACTATTGGCAAGTTTGGGAGTTGAGTATGAAGACTTGCGTAGCCATTTACTAATGACTCCTGAGCTACCATCTTTCGTCAACGTGTGTCATGCAATCCAAAGAGAAGAAACTCGAAGGAAAGTAATGCATGTTGAGCCCCGGTCTAGCTCAGAAGCTAGAGTTTTCACTAGTAACCACAACTCCACTAGTGAAAGGCCTTTTAATGGAAGAAAAGCTGACTGGAAATGCACATACTGCAACACCAAGGGACACGTACGGGAAAAATGCTGGATTTTACATCCTGAGTTAAAACCTAAGTTTAACAAGGAAGGAAAATGATCAGGGATGGGAAAGGGTTTGCGCCTAAAGCTTTCCAATCTCTGAGTTGTCAATCTAATGAGATGTCAAACTTCACCTCAAATCCTATCTCCCTGATCCATGAGTTTGCCGCCTTTCTCCAAAAGAAGAGTGATATCGCTGAAGGTAACAATGTCACCACGGAAAATCCCACATAAATGCTTGGAAAATTTGCTGGTTTTTTGGCAAATTCAAACACCACTACATCCGGCAATATCCCAGGTATCATTTGTGCACTTTCCACGGCTCTCAATGTATACCTCACACACGATTTTTGGATTATAGACTCAGGTGCCACTGACCATATAACCAACAAACAAGCTTGTCTACATGAGTTTCAAAAATTACCTAATCCTACTCATGTGTCTGTAGCAAATGGGAAAGGGGAACCAGTCCTAGGAAAAGGAAAAATTAAATTGATGGGGAGTGATGTAGAGTCTACGGCACTATATGTACCCTCATTTCCATTTCAGCTTCTGTCCATAGGAAAAATCACACATACTTTGAACTGTCTTGCTATTTTTTCTCCTCACACAGTTGTATTTCAGGATCGAGTCACTCAAAAGAAGATTGGTGAGGGTTTTTTCTTAAATGGTCTGTACTACCTCTCAAAGGAGTTCAATCAAGTTAAGGAACCCATTGCCAACCTAAGCCATGTCCAGAAGCATCAACTTTGGCACCAACGCCTAGCTCATCCCTCCGAACCAGTAATGTCTAAGTTATTTCCAAATTATTGTACCAACACACATGAGTGTGAGATCTGTCAAATGTCAAAAGCCACTAGGCTACCTTTTGTACCCTCTAAATCTAGAACTAGTAAACCCTTTGAAGTTGTACACTCAGATATTTGGGGACCTTCCCGTGTTGAGTCATTTGATGGGTACAAGTATTTTGTTACATTCATAGATGACTACTCTAGGGTTACTTGGTTATATCTCTTAAAGTCTAAAAGTGAATTTTACAGCGTTTCAAGACTTTCATAAGCTAATAACCAACCACTTCTCCTAAAAAATATGTACCTTACGATCAGATAATGGCACCGAGTATACCTCCAATAATCTGTCAAACTACTTGAGCAGTCATGGTATCTTGCATCAAACTAGTTGTGTGGGTACACCACAACAAAATGGTGTAGCCGAACGCAAGAATAGGGATTTATTAGAGAAAACTAGGTCTCTTATGTTTCAGATGCAAGTTCCCAAGAGATTCTGGTCCCAAGCACTCCTTACTGCAGCCTATATCATTAACAGACTTCCCACTCGTGTCCTAAATTCCAAATCACCTTTTGAAGTTATGAAGGGAAGAACGTCTGATTTAACTCATTTCAGGATTTTTGGGTGCACTTGTTATGTTCACGTTCAAGCAAACCATCGTGATAAACTCGAACCTCGAGCTATCAAGTGTGTGTTTATGGGGTACTCAAGTTCTCAAAAAGGATACAAATGTTATAACCCACACACTGGGAAGCTGGTTGTCTCTAGGGATGTACGGTTTGATGAACACGTTCCTTTCTTCAACAATCACTCCCCAAATAGTTCTCAGGGGGAGAGTCTAATGGATATGTTTCCATTACCAACTCTTGCTGAAATCCATACAGACACCCCCCCATATCACCCTATAAGTGATCCTCCAGTTGATGAGATGGTCAGTGAAGACATACCTCGTGCCCCAGCATCAGTTGTTGCCACACAACCAATTGTAGCAGCACCAAAACGAAATCCAACTCGCGATCGCAACCCTCCTCGACGGCTACAAGAGTACATTACTTACAGTGCAAGGCATCCCATTTCTGAAGTCCTTACTTATCACAAACTGTCAGCATCTCATGCATCTTTCCTAAGTCAGTTGGCAAACAATGTTGAGCCTAAAAACTTTCAAGAAGCAGTATGTATGCCTGTGTGGAGAGATGCCATGCATGATGAGCTTAAAGCACTGAATGAAAATCAAACTTGGAGTATAGTAGATCTTCCCAAAGGGAAGAAAACCGTAGGGAGTAGATGGATTTACAAGACTAAATTCAATTCTAATGGTACCATTGAAAGACACAAGGCCCGATTAGTTGCACGGGGTTTCACTCAAACTTACGACATTGACTACAAGGAGACCTTTGCTCCCGTTGCCAAAATGAACACTGTGAGGGTGTTGTTATCAGTAGCAGTCAACCACGACTGGCCCTTGTTTCAAATGGATGTTAAAAACGCATTTCTTCACGGTGAGCTCCAAGAAGAGGTGTACATGAAGCTACCTCCAGGACACCCTCAAGAAAAAGAACCTTCCAAAGTCTGCAAGCTTCATAAAGCTATATATGGACTTAAACAGTCTCCTCAAGCTTGGTATGCCAAACTGAGCTCCGTTCTTGAAGTGGCAGGGTTCAAAAGGAGTCATGCTGACTCCTCTCTCTTTGTTCGAAATGGTGTCCAAGGGAAGCTTGTAGTTCTTATATATGTTGACGACCTTATCATCACGGGGGACAACATGGATGAACTCGAGGCTCTTAAAGGGTCACTTCACCAACAGTTTGCCATTAAAGATTTGGGATCCTTGAAATATTTTCTGGGAATTGAGATGGCTACCTCCTCTAAGGGTTTATTCTTAAATCAAAGGAAGTATGTCCTTGACCTTCTTGATGAAGCACATATGGTCAACTGCAAACCTGCCCGCACCCCTCTTGCTAGCAAACTTCAACTGGATGCTCCAGGTACCCTTCTTTCAAATCCTAATGTGTATCAACGCATGGTTGGGAAACTCATTTACCTAACTATCACAAGGCCTGATATTGCTTACTCCGTAAGCCTTATCAGTCAGTTTATGCATTCTCCTACATTGGTACATTGGGAAATTGTCAAGAGAATTCTTCGATATCTCAAGGGCTCGATCGGCAGAGGCATACTCATGCAGAAAAATGAGTCTAACCACATTCTGGCCTATACCGATGCGGACTGGGCTGGTAATTCCCTTGATCGAAAATCCACCACAGGTTTTTGTACCTTTGTAGGTGGAAATCTTGTCACCTAGAAAAGTAAAAAACAAACAGTGGTTGCACGGTCCAGTGCTGAAGCTGAATATCGGGCCATGGCAGCAACAGCTTCTGAACTCATCTGGTTGAAGAGTCTACTTCTTGATCTTGGCTTCACCAGCAAGGAACCCATGTCCTTATTCTGTGACAACCAGGCTGCCATGCATATTGCATCCAATCCTGTATTCCATGAACGGACTAAACACATTGAAGTTGACTGCCACTACATCCGCAATCAAGTTCAATCCAACATCATCGAAACTGTGTACACTAGAAGTCATGATCAACTTGCGGACATTTTCACGAAAGCTCTTGATTTTACACAGTTTCAACGGTTATTGTTCAAGCTTGGATCAATCAACGCCCTTGATCCAGCTTGAGGGGGAGTATTGACAGCTAGGACAGTATGGGAGAGAGGGAATAAGATATTGACAGTATGGAGAGAGGGAATATTGCTCGTGAAAAGGAATGATGTATATTCCTTGACAGATAGACTATCACATGGTTTTGTTGCTATGGTTTGCTGTTTATTTTTTCCCTAGTTGCTGCATCATGACAGCAAGCACAACACCTGTATTGCTTTTCTTTATTGCATGCGCGTATGTAAGATGTATGTATATAAACAATGCTGCTATTGCAGCAGAAAAATAAGAATGAAAACAACAAAGTTGAAACCAAAACTTCAATAATATACATAATATATCTTTAAATTATTTCGGAAAACTTTGCTTCTGGTCCGTGATTGACCAAAATTTTTAAACTGAAACTTCATTAATTTGAATACTTAATTTGATTGAAGGACAAAATATTAAATTTCAGTATTAATTAAGAAATTTATAACGAAAATTAACAGTTCCTCTTTAAAATGTGCAAAGATTAATACCGCATAGGGAGTTTTAATTTTTTCTTCAAATTTTAATTGAGTGAAAAAAAAAAGTATTTTTATTTTTAAATATTGTTACCTTATAAATTACAAAAGGGTACATTTTATTATAAAATATGGGTACATTATAGATAATAAAAAGTGAATAGATTTTACACTTAAAAATGGGTACATTTTACATTAAAAAAAATTGGTGCATTTTACATATACAAAGTGGGAATTTTTTTTGAAAACTGGGTACATTATAAATATATGAATGTGTACATTATAATGCACAAGTATGAAGGAAGATTATGGTTGACAAGTATTACAGGCCAACAACTATAAGTTTTCAAACAGCTGTGGGGACTGAACCCATCAGTTGAAAGACTTAGTCTAAGGTTTCTTGGGTCTTTCTAACAAAATTCATATCAGTTCATAAGGATTCAATTACATATACACACATGTGATTTCAGATTATTTTAGATATCAATTGGAGATTCAATTATCTATACAGGTGGTGCCATGATCTTGGTCGGGAGAATGCTGCTAACAAACCTTTACTAAGAACTGTTTTTCAGGTACTCAATAGCTATGATTATATATGACCGTGTTTGTCTCTAATTTAATCTTAAATATCAAACGAGACCCTAATTCTCTAGTATATTGTCGTCTAACGGTGGATATTATGTAACTTTTGAGTGTACTATAGGCGAGGTTGCGATTAATCGGCACCCCTGATGGACAAACTGCGTTGTTTTTTTATCATTCGTGATAAATCGACACAGGTCTGGAGATATATAATATAACTTACTTGGCTAGTAATATATGTACAAGACCATTCTGTTCAATTACGTTGTAGTCCTTCCTTACAAACTAATTCTCTAGTTTGTGGCCATTCGTTAATTTAGACCCCGTTTAAAAATCTGGAGCTTGATTTAAGGAAGGATATAAAGAAGGTATTCGTACTACGTAATTAATTTTGCCTTCATCTATGATTTGATTTTGTTGGTTATTTCCTTTTCTTCGGTATGCCTTACACTATAATGGTGTGAACAAATTCTGCAGATATGGGATGCAGTTCCGAAGCCCCAAGCCCATGAAAGGACCCCGTTCTCTGAATTTTTTAGCGTTAGATCTCTTGTCTTGATTATTCTTGATCATCTTCCCAATCATGGATTAAGATCGGGACACACAATTTTGACACAATTTCTCAAGGCCCATTCCATAAGTATTTCAACAATCTAACTGTTTATCTTTTAAGTTTTTCCTCAAATCATTTATATAAAAAATCACCCAAATCTGAAACAATATGACAACTAAAATATGGTCATTTTAGTGTTTCTTTGTAAAACCATATTCTTCAATTTTCTTCACTGAAAATAAATATCTTAATGATTTTAGATTTGTCTAATTTTTTGTAAAAATGATCTATGAATGATAAATTATAATATAGACATTTCAGAGCGTTGAAAAAAGTTACGGAATGTGAACTACAAGAAAATCTGTTAAAATGTGTGTCAATGTGTTTCCCGATCGATCGTCTCTATCTATATGTATATGTTGTCTCTGATTTTGACATCCTTTGATACGTAGGTACACGTAGTTGGTTTGTCAAATTATGAGTTTCTGAAGGAGAAGTTTGAGGAAGAGGTACCCCTCTCTTGCTTTATCAAAAGCAATTCATTATATATCTCATGTCAAGGTATCCGATTATACCTCATGCGGAAGTGCAACCAAACGATCCATGCTTCTTGTTAATTGCGAGCCTTCCGTGCCTTGAACCACCTTGAACCTCCATTGGACAAGTTTCGCAAAGATCAAGAGGGTTAGCTAAAGTATTTCGAGTTGCCCCATGATATTCAACTCCCAAGTCCCAAGAGTTATGGTTATAACCCTAGATAGATCTAGAACTATAGAGAAAGGGTATGGGAGAAGGGAGCACGAATGTCCTGCACTTATAAAATCTCACCCACTGCTCCCAGTTTCGAACAAAGTCATAGGTGGGTACTCCGATAATAGAATAATACGAATAGGGGCTTAAGAAATTATTAGATCACCGATAAACATTTGATGATTACTTTCTTTAACAACTAAGGACATAGTTCATGTGATTTGGGTTTTGGGTTGAGGTGTTTTGGTCTTTCGCTTTTTGGGATTTGGGTTGGGTATGTTTTGATAGGGTTTTAGTCCTTGGTTGTACAAGAAACTTTCCCTACCAGTTTTGAGGGAAGCTAAAGTTTAGTTAGGTACCTTGTCGGTTGTACAAGAAACTTTCCCCACAAGTTTTGAGGAAAGTTAAAGCTTAGTTAGGACCTTGTTGTTAAACTCCCTTCAAAGGGGAGAGAGCACCTTGCTGTCTTCAAAATGCCTTGTTGAAGAAGTAAATAAGGTGACTTAGCTTGTCAAAGAGAAGATATCAAATGATAACCTTAAAAAACAAGTAAACTAGAACCCACCAAAAAGAACCTCAAATTAAGTTTATTGAATGAAAATATGAAAGCTAACAAACTGTAACTAGGTAGACTGATGCTTTAGCATAGTGGTAGAAATCAATCATGTCTATACACTCTGGTGCAGATTCGATCCCCTTTGATTCCCATCCCCCTAACAACTAACTATTTAAGCATATCATTTGTTAAAAAAAAAAAAAAAAAAAACCTAAGGAAGCCTATATGTAGTTTTGTACAAGGCTTCTTTTCAAGGGAGTTTCAATGAAAAATGCTTGGATTACATTTATTTTGACAAAAAACCATTTAATAACTTTATTTAATGAAAATGGCTTAAACTTATCGCATCCATCACACACACTCTCTCTCATCTCCCTCATTATTTCTTAAATTGAACACTAACTATTTCTTAAACTAAACACGGGTACTACACTATTTCTTAAACTGAGCATGGTACTATTTCTAAAAACTTAACACAGTGCTATCATTATTTCTTAAACAAAACACTGGTACTACCATTATTTCTTAAATTGACTATTTTTTAAACTGAACATGATACCACTATTACTTAAACTGACTATTTCTAAAATTGAACACGGGTATTATTTCTGAAACTAAACGTGGGTTGGCGAGCACGTTGCATGCGCATTTGGATGGGTTTTTTTTTTCCTTTCCTTTCTTTTGTCCTTATTATTGAATAAAGTTATTAGATAACTTTTGGATAGAATTCAAAGTTTTGAGCCATTTTCATTAGCATTTCTTATTTTAAATTATGGCATATGTACTATTTACCAAATCTTACTTCACCCCCTACAATCAATGTTGTTTCATTTTACCACCTGCACTCTTTCTTCATGTCCCTCATTACCCCCTACACTCTATATTGTCACCCTTTACTATATGCACTCTTCCTTTATGTCCCACTTTAATTAACCTATTAATTCCATCAACTAAGTTGGTTGTGTAGCATATAACATTTCATGTTAGTGGAACCTATGGGTAAAAGGAGGTGTGTTAAACTCAAAGAAGAATTTGATTTCTTTAGATCAAGAGAAAAAAGAGGAAGAGAATGTTGAATTTCAGGATTCGCAAGTCAATTTCAAAGTTTTTAGATCAATGTGCATAGATTTAACCCATCAAAATAGTTGAAAAGACTAAATTGTCCATGACTTAGCACAATTAACAATTCTCTTAATCTATTTTATGGAACAAGGTAAAAAGTAGGGCATTGAGGAAAAGTACAAATAGTAAAGTGAGATAATATAGAGTGTAAGGGATTAAGTGGGGAAGAGCGTAGGTGTCAAAGTGAGACAATATCGAGTGTAGTAAAGTGAGATTTGATGAACATGTGTCATAACTAAAAATAAGCCTTACATAATGACTGTTAGCTCTAGATTTTCTTGGTAGAAAAATAATTAAACAAATAACAAAATACCCAACACGTCGTAAAAACTTAAAATGGTGATAAAATATGCCGAGAAAGTCCATATGACATAGCAAAGCTGTGTGTTGAACTTGTGATGTCGCAGTCTTTGTAACGGGACGGGAGTCCAAATTTGCAAAGTAATTCTTGCTCGTGGACTTGATCTTTAATCCACTCCGACTCCATCTGCATCATATGTTCCAAGAAGCACAATCTGCGGCGACATATTTGCAAGACCGCGTCAAAGAAATTGAAAGAAATTAAAGTTTGAGCTAGCAAATGAACCAATTTTTAGTTGTCCGCCGAGGAAGACGAAACCTAGTTTTAAAAATCACTTTATTAATTGTGACTGCACAAAACTCCTTGAGTAGAAAAGTGAGCGATCCCAGTATCTATCAGATCAATGTGTGCAAGGACCAAATTCCCTTGCGGTGTTAAACCATGGTTTTCGTATAGAACTTTACAGTGGAGCGTGGTACTTACGTACATTTGACTGTATCATGCAGGTTGCTCAACTGAAGCAGCGTCTTGTCAATTCTACTTCTTCAGGAAGCCTTCCTGGTTATAGAAGGCGTGCTGTCCCTGCCTCTGCATTTTCTCTCATGATACAGCAGATTTGGAAAGAGATCAAACAGAACAAAGACCTGGATCTTCCTTCTCAAAGGGTACTTTGTTTGTTTCTTATTAAATTTTCCCATTGGACGTAACAATATTTGTGGTCAGGACTTCTCATAATCAGATAACCATCTACAAATAATGTTTTTATATTAGGTTATGGTTGCCACCATGCGTTGTGAAGCAACTGCCGACAAGACATTGGGACAATTCATGGAAAGTGAGGTATGTATTAATCAGTTATCTCCATTTGTTAGATGCTAACTTAAGGGAAGTTTTATTGGTTGTTGCTTGGATGAACATTATTTAGCGCTGGTTGTCATTACAAAAAGCTGCTGAAACTGGTCCTGTACAAGATTTCGGTAAAAGGGTCAGCTCAATTCTATACTACTATCTTTCTGAGTAAGTTCCACTCTAGTTTCTACTACTTATGATACTTTATTTGTATGCCTTGATAAATATATATCTTGCTTATTTGTGCATCACATATAGATATGACAAGGAGGTCGTGGACTTTGACGAAGGTGTAAGGAAGTCGAAACGACACATGTTGGAGTCGAGAGCATTGCAGGTATGGCTACTTTATGATCTTCCTCTCTAGCTAATCGTTTCGTGTCAGTTAAATACTTATTCTCAGGTTAGGATGGTCCTTTGGGACCCATGTAAACTTGTACTCAATAAGTAAGGATACAACACGGTTACATGTGCCTGAAAAGAAAAGAGTACGAATAGAACTACTTTGTGCTTAATGTTAGAAAATAGGGGCACAGTATGATATTTGTGCTTGTAAGTTTGTGCTGTACGTGTAGTTTTCTAGTAGTGTAGTTAACAAAGTTTTAGTTAGGTCTGCACACTGCAGCTCAAGGAAATAGGGGCACATCAGTATGATATTTTTTGCTTGTAAGTTCATGTTCTTGGAAAATAAGTTCAGTTTCTTAGGCGCAGTTCTACGCATAAGGTATGCTTGTTCAAGAGATAGGATATATAAAATGAAGCATTGAACCGATCCATAATTCAAAGTCAATGAGCCTTTTATTTTATTCTTATTTATTACCATTAATCCTATTCATAATCTTGCTTTCCTCTGGACTGTACAGTCTGCCCAGGCTGTGTACAATACCATGTTGGTACACTTATGCTCTAAAGCATTTGAAGGGTTTAAAGTGAGGGCGGCGTCACTTAACCCAGAAAAAGGATTTGATGAATCTCTTCGTGCCTGTATTCTTTCTTCCATGCGTGAATTTCGCCAATGGTGTGCTGGTATATATCATATCCTTTGTGATTCTGTTACTTGTTTCTCAAGGCATACAAATTTCTTTAAAACAACATCATTGTTGGCATTTCATCTACTTAACTAGATGAGTTGAATTAACCATGCTAAGTTATCCTTTCAGATGCTTCCTTACAACATAGAAATTGGAGTTTTTCAACCATTGTAGAAAAGCTTCAACGCGATATAGATGTACATGCAGCATCATTTATTCGTAGTGCAAAGTTGTCAGAATTGAAGCTCAAATATAAGGTAGTATTTCTACACAAAATGAATCTCTTTCCTCACACAATATCTAATATGTGTTGGTCGCCCATACAATGATAGAGTCAATCTCCATTAAAGACCGTCTTCCGTAACTTGTTGGTTTTGTGTGACATCTGAAGTCCAACATGTCTTCAGTTTGACTGGCATCAAATAACTTATTGTGAACTCTATTAAAGACTATTAGATAGTGTATGAGCAATTATAGGGTCAATTTTTAGAGATTAAACTCAATGTAGTCAGTTTTACGTGCTTTAGTATGTAGAATTATTAAATAAATCATATGTTGATTATGTATTATTACTTAAATTACTTATTTGAGGGCAACTAGTGCTATGGTAATGGTATAATGATATTTACTCTCCATTTGCAAGTGTGAATTCTCAGGTTCGACTTCCTTGGAAGACGAGTTCAATATCAATTTATTATGGCTTGGTATTGTGCAGCTTAGTTGAAATATTCAACCACCCTTTAGCGTAAACCATATCGTTGTATTATAAATTAAAGAAAATTACTTATTTGGGAAACTTTGTATAATGTTGACTGTAGGAACAACTTGTTGCATCTTTAACTAGTCAAGTAGACCCTGCGTTTGGGGATGGTGGAGAAGGCATGTGGGTTTCAATAAGAAGAATTCTTAAGCTTGAGACTGAAAATGCAATATCAAGGTTATCTATACAGGGTTTTGAGTTGGAAGAAAAAGAATTCAACGCAATGAGGCAATATTTAAGCAACATTGCCAGAAACGTGGTGGAGCAAAAAGCAAGAGACAATATTGTTGCTGAAAAAGTTTTGACCGAAATGAAAGATAGGTAAAGCAAATTTCTCACTGTATATATATAAATATATATATACTCTTGTCATCTTTTTGGTTGCTTAATTATCAGAGTTTAATTGGTTAACAATTTTCAGGTTTTCAAGGGTCTTCTGTTACGATAGCAATTCACAGCCTAGGGCTTGGAAAAAGAAGAAGCATATCACAGTTGCTACAGAAGAAGCCCATTCTGCTGTAATCACTGAGAACAACTTAATTTAATATAAATCAACGGAAGTTTAACATTGACATAACATTATTATGTTTTTGTTTAATTAGTAACCTTTTTTCACTCTCTTTTTTGTGCAGTCTCTTAAGATTTTGGCGGTTATGGCTACCATTGACTTGGATGAGAAACGAAATTATGATGAACTCTTTTCTTGTTTAACGAAAGAAATTGAAGACTCTCTTCCCTCGAGTTGGAACAATGTATTACTAATTTAATGTGTTTTGCTTAGTTTAATATATATATATATATATATATATATGGAAATTTAAAAAAAATGAAATTAAAATAGATTTTTAATTGAATGGAAATTAAAATAAAAAAAATAAGAAAAGTAGGAAGTGGGAGAGAGAAAGTGAAGAAGTAAAACTCTGGTTACATATGCGGGTGAGGGAAAGAAAAAAACAAAATTTTTTGTGCAAAATTACTTAATGCCCATGACTTTTTTTTTTAGCTAATATTTTCTTTCAATTATGCATGGATGGGTGTAATAGTATTTCATTAGTTTTTTTGTCAACAAAGAGGATTTTATTAAAAGATACAATAGTATAGATATAGATAGGATATATATAATTGAACTGGCAGTTTCTTATTGAGAATTGATTCTGAACTAGGTTTCCTTGAAGGATACCCTATTCACACCGGTACAGTGCCAACGACTGTGGTACAAGTTCAAAGAAATGACTCAGAAATATATCGTGGAAGCTACTTCATCCATGGTATATTTTATAACGGATCAGCTTTTATTTTACATTTAAGTTGAAAATACCGTGAAGCTTTTATAGAGATAATGGGGAGTTAACTCAAGCTAATATAATACTTAATTTGCTGCTTTGTATTTTCAGGAAGCTCACAAGCGCCATAAAAGGACAATGGCGAGGAAAATAGCACTTGGTACGGCAGCCGCTGCGGTTAATGTGAGTCTCGCAGTTATGGGAATCCCATCCATTGGCGGAGCCACATAGAGACTAGGGTAGTCCAGGGCCCATCCTGGAAATACATTTATATTGATTATGTAGTAATTTTTGCAATAATATGCATGTGGTGTGTTGGTATGTCAGGTTTTAAAGGTTTCATTAGGTCCCGGGGTCGACGCCTGCTGACAGAAAGCTACTTTATGGTTTTTTTTTTTACCAATTACCATATATAACTACCCTTCTGCTAACATTCTGATTTCTTTTAAACCAATTATTTTTTGGGTCTTTTGATATGGGTCCAATTGTACTAAAAATTAGACATATTTCAAAAGTCAAAAGTCACTAAAAATTGGACTTATTTCAAAAGATGGACTATAAAATTGGATTTCTTTCAAATTTTCCCTTATTTTTTTGTTAGTTCATATAAAACAAGGTATATATATTCGAGAGGAAGATTGAATGATATTAAAAAAAAAGTATCGTAATAATAGATTATTTTTTTGTAGTTCATATAAAACAAGATATATATATTCGAGAGGAAGATTCAATAATATTAAAAGAAAAATATCGCAATAATAGTTTGAGCTAGTTATAACGTTATTATCAATGTTGCGTTAGATGTCTACACAGGTTCTATTTATTATGACATCTCTCAATACTAATTTTTTCATACAAATTTTAAAGCTCCATCACTCTTGTTTGATTCAAAATTTCCATGATATTACTAATTTTTTTTAATAATTTCTTTCATTAGTTTAAAGGCCCCTCCTGGCATGAATTTCTGGCTCCGCCACTGATCCCACCACTTTTATGATCAATACCAGATTGATTAATTGGAATCAGTTAGAATTAGTAGTTTAATGTCCAATTTTATTTTTCGTTCGTAGTTAAATTTGTCTGATTTGTAGCTAAATTGGTTTAAAACATTTTCCTTTATGCACGAGTTCGAATCTAACTTCCCCAGTATCACTTAAAAAAAGATTGCTTCTAGTTGAAGGTACACATTAGTTTATGTTGTTTCTAGTTATGAAATTCATGTCAGTTTACGCTGTTCAATAATGGAAAGAAAAAAAAAGATTTACAGCTCTGTTAGTAGTCTCGCAAAAAGAGGAACATGATTCGAATTTCATGACCGTCTCTTGTTGCGCAGTTTATTGATCGGTCAGGTCTGCTCCTCCAAACCCATCCATCATCGCATTTGCTGAAGGGAAATCAGCTCTAGTCGTCAAACTACGTGAACACTGGAAATAAAAATGATAAGGATTTAAAGAAATTGTAAACTGGCAGAGATTTGTTCTGAGCAATTAAAAAATAAAGCTCGTAGATGTATGTGAGAATCTGCAACAGGAAAATACTGAAGCAAAAAATGCCTCCACCTGCTTCTTAAAATAACACATGGCATGCCCACTTGCTCAGCTTCAGCTACACCAGACTGGCTTCCTGCAATAAGAACACAATCGCATACAGGTAGTCCAGCAACTTCTGCCCCAGCTCGCTATGCAGCAATGGTCTTCTCTAAGCTGGCAGAAAACAATTTACACGCCAAAGCGAACAAGAAATTCAGTTGGACTATATTACTCTACTCGGTTATAAACACAACTAATATGAGAAAGAAGGGGCTATATGACGCTGAGATACTAAAATTGAGATCAAGAAAAATCAGTACGACAGCAAAGAAAAGAAGGAGAGGAACTTGCACAGCATTTGCCGACCATAACAGCAAAGGATTAAATACAACATATATGAAATCACTCTTTAAGTTGAGTGCTGAATCATACATAACCGTGCAAACGGTACAAATTGGTATATAATCTCTTCCTAGTCTAATGTGAGTAGAATCATACATAAACGTGACACAACCACAAGTTTCTCTTAAATCTTGAACATCAAAAAACCCATTAAACAAGAATAATCGGTAGACACAAACCAACCTTGACGATGTCGAATTAACAATAACAAACAATAAAACTAAATGAGATGAGCTAACCTTTCAGACAGGTTAGTATCAAATATACACTGAGCTTTAGCAATGATGCAATCTCCCCTGCAATCCTTTGTTTCTCAGCAGAAACTGGCCCAGAAATCAAGAACAGAGTCCTTTAGTACCAACCATCTGCACTGGCAAAATGTATATCACCAACATATACATGACAATCAACGGAAGATGAAGAGTCTACCTGCTTTTATTGCCTCCTTAGCTAGATGCTCATCCACGCCAGAAGATAATCCTGTATCATTTACCAGTTGATTATGCAAACTCTGTTCTACCTCGTTAGGGTTTGGACTGGGAACGAAGACATTACGTTAGTCTAAAGTACAGGCACTGTTCAAATTTTTGTTGATTTTGTTTTATTTACAACAAAGCCATGGGATTTGAGGCTGGGTTGGAAGGTAGATAGCTAAGTAGGCTTTGAACAAAAATGATTGCGTATAATTATATACCTCAAAACAGCATGGAACCAACTTCTTCCTCAAATGATCCAAATTTCTGTAATCTGCAAAGAAAGCAGATTTGTTAGCAACCTAGACACTTTCAAATTTAAAGCCACATTCTGCAATTTAAGCCAAGTAAAGTAAAACCCTCAATTAATCCCCAACTACAAACCTGAATGAAACCTTCAATTAAACTCCAAATTAAACTATTAACAAAACCCAAATTAAATCAGCAATCAGGAAAGATAAAAATATGCCTATTAAAAGCATTGCATAACTGAGAAAGCTACATTTCTAAGAAAGATTAAAACCTTTTTACAAAACACACCTACTGAAAAGCCTCACATTTTTAAAGATTGGAAGTTTTTGCTTAAATTTTGTTTCCTTCATCTGTTTAAAGTTCATTTTCTCTCTCTATTTTACAACTCTACTCACGCATATTCACAACATATTTACAACTTGGAATAAAGAAGTTTTGGGAGCGAGAGAAAGGGAGAGGGAGGAGTGGAGATCTGAGCGCCATTGCTGCAGATCCTCAATTTCATCAGTGAGAGAGATGTTTAGAGATTTTTTTCCCACTTTTTGATCAGAATGTCAAAATCTCATGTGGCCCGTAAATCCGTCCTTTTTTTTTAATTATAAATGGTTTTCAGTTTTACATATTCTCTTACATATGCTTTAGTCCTTGAAAGGTGGCTTCTTGCTTGTTTAAAACTAATTGAAATTTGTTAAAAACTATGGCATGGACATCATTCAGCACCAGCCAATTTTTTTTTTCCAATTATCTCAACATTTTCCAGAAAAATATTGAAACATATAATTGCATATCCAACACAAATTTAGGAATACAATCAAAGAACATGAACACCAAACTTTGTACGTGGTTTGACTACTTGCCTGCACCTATATCAACACTCAAAGTTCACTCTAAAGCACAATACTAAACCAAACTAAAGTTTTACCGTGCTAAAGCTGCAAACAGGGGAGCTTGGAAATTAATATTGTTGTGGCATGTGAATTCCCAAATGGTATTAAACTATCAATGATCATAAGATAGCTAATGATGAAAAAGAAACTGAAGAACGAAAAACAATGATGCATTTGAACACATGAAGAAACTTGTTTCAAAATTATACTACCTAGCAACAGAGGATTAAAACAATAAATAAAACAGCCTTCTAACACCCTTATCACACAAATAGAGAAGCAACAAAACATGGAGAAACAACCTAGCAACAGAGGGATATTCAAAGGATGAAAAGCAGAAAAGGAACTTGAATTCGACTTGTTGAGAAGGAAACAGCAGCAAAGCATGAAGAAAACAGAAATGAGCACAGTGCAATACCCCAAGTATAAAAGACACAACCTTACTCTAACAGTGTACAAAACAGTGCACCAAACAGACTTATCTTCCTAACACCCAACTAAACAGGCTATAACCATCCATTACAATTTTGTCGAAACAAAAAAATGTCAATCATAGTTTTAACAAAGCAAATGGGAAACAAACAATAAACAATGATTTCTGAACAATGTTTTACCTGTTGAATCAGATGACAAAACTGAAAACCCTCTCCTCTCCCATACCTCCCTCAGACATCCTCTGCTCACCAACCCCGTGGGGTAACCTGTTAACCCCAAAAAACGCACATCATGCTCTCTGCCCTCTCTCTCTCTTCCCCTGTCCATCCGTCCCTCAAAAAGTGGGAAAAAAATCTCCAAACATCTCTCCCACTCATGAAATCGAGGATCTGCAGCAATGGCGCTGAGATCCTCTCTCCCTCTTCTCGGAGGCATGGCCTCCCATCCCCTAAACCCTCACCGAATATGTGACTTTTAGTTTTTGACTTTCCTTTGGCAGGACTTTTAATTAAGCATGCATCTTTGGTGTAATATTATCATATTCTTGAGGTTTGAATTTTTTACTCTTACTTTTGTAACCATTATATGTTTGCGTATCTATCTTTTGGGTTATCCATCAATTAAAAATTATTATGTGAGGATTTTGATTGTTGACTTATCATTGGTATATTTCAAGTGGTTTTTGATATTTTGATAGGTGTTGGAAAAAAAAAAGATGAAATTGTTTTGCGCTCAATGCATAGTTAATCTTAAAATAGGGTTTATTAAATTGGTTTGATGATATATAGGTAGTAACAAATTAATGATGTCAACTTCTACAAGGAAGAGGCTGATGAGAGACTTCGAGAGGCTGCAACAAGACCTGCCTGCGAGGATTAGTTTGGCGCTGAGATATACCTCACAAATTTGTGATTCCATCATAATTTCACACAAAAAAAGATCAAATTTTGATTCAAACATCAAACAAAACAACCCCATTTGTTACAGATAGGATCAACCAAATAAAGAATCTATCAATATGATTTTCAACCCAACTATAAAAAGGAGCTTCATAACAGCACAATCAATATCATTTCAACCCAACTGAAAGGAAACTAATTGTATGCCATAAATTCCATGGGTTATTTGATTTTGCTGATTAAAAAGAATTGAAGAGTACTGAAAATTAGTAAACCCCATCACAACATATCATCAGTGAAGAATTAATTATTATAAACTCAAGCTTTGATAGTTAAATGTTAAGGATCAATAATGATAATATTGACCCTTTTTAAATTTTATAATACCTCATCTATAAACTGGGACACCTTGTGCTTAAACAGCTTCAGTTCTGTAAACTGGACTTCTTGAAGAATTTAGCGGATCTGCAATAACATTAAATGAATGCATTAAAACCTTTATCTATTACCTGCCAAACCACTCAATGAGCACCCCAAAAAATGGTGATATTAATATAGAAGATAAGGATAAAAAAGATTTAGTGAGTAATGACACGCCAATTACATGTCCAGACACCCCTCTGTGCGAAAGCAAGTAAAAGTGACTATATAATATAGGTTTCATTGTGAAGAGAACTTGTATAAAGAAAGGTAATCACTTCAAAACTTATTTCCATTGATAAACATCAACATTAATTTTGCATGAGACATATTTCCAATTTATTTAGAATGACACCAAAAGATTTACTCCATACGATTTACAGTCAAACAAATAGCATAAGATAAAGAAAACATCTATGTTTCTCATTCTGACTTCGCCAAATGGCCTAAACTATGAGAAATTATCAAATTTGGTTCTAATTATTATTGTTAGGGCATGAGTTTTGTTGTATGGAGCCCATTTCATCCAAGTTCTAATTATAATTGTTGTAATACACAGAGTTCAGTGCAGAGGAGTTTGATATATAACAATTAAAATTCACATAAAATTCGGTTTCCATGTAATGAGTTCACGTTTGTAGAAGCAAAGCCTCAAAAATAACTAACCTCGCCGACAACATTATATTGTTATCCTAAGGCGCCCCACTAATCCTCGCAGATAGGTCTTGTTGCAGCCTCTCGAAGTCTCTCATCAGCCTCTTCCTTGTAGAAGTTTACATCATTAATTTGTTACCACCTATATATCATCAAACCAATTTAATAAACCCTATTTTAAGATTAACTATGCATTGAGCGCAAAACAATTTCATCTTTTTTTTTCCAACACCTATCAAAATATCAAAAACCACTTGAAATATACCAATGATAAGTCAACAATCAAAATCCTCACATAATAATTTTTAATTGATGGATAACCCAAAAGATAGATATGCAAACATATAATGGTCACAAAAGTAAGAGTAAAAAATTCAAACCTCAAGAATATGATAATATTACACCAAAGATGCATGCTTAATTAAAAGTCCTGCCAAAGGAAAGTCAAAAACTAAAAGTCAGCAAAATAAAATTTAACAAAAGATTTATGCCAAAGTAATGCATACAATTTACCTATTTTATAATGAATCCAATTCATAAATATTTGGAGTGTAGGCGTTTCTTCCTAACAACACCCAAAATATAATTCATTAATAGATTTAATTCATTCCATATATAATCATCCTAGGGTTATTGTGTTGCCCTCTTTGTGTTTTCTTCTCCGAATAAATATGGAACCAAACTTATGAACTGTCTATCCAACTCAATACACAAAAACCGAGCATTATCAAAATAGGTAAAACTTAAATTTCTGCATACAACCCAATAATATCAATCAAATTTTCCTTTGTATTTAAAGTAATTTCATCCCAAAAAGCAAACTAGCAAACCTGCACCCATACCGTACTCATAAGAATATATAAATTCTGTAGCTAATTAGTAATACAGCTACCACCTAAGTTCCTTTGTCGGTCGTACCCAGTGCACAAGGCTCCCGATTCAATCGAGGGTTTTTACAAATCCAAAACTACAAAAAAAATTGAGAAACAAATTTAAAGTTAAGAATGAACACCGTACCTTGAAAACGGTAAACATGCAAAATCCGATCACAACTTTTCTTAATAAATTTCTCATCTTTTCCTCTCATCGAAACACAAAATCCAAAGATCCTGAAAACTTTATTCTCTTTTCATTTCGGGTTTCAACCTAAAACCCTAATTTGAACCAAAATGCATAGAAAGAGGAAGCACATCGGATCTAATACAAACCTTCATTCTGATCATTCTCTTTGAACTTGTTGAATTATATTAAACTACATATAGGGAGAGGGAAAATAAAATTGCCCACGCGCTGCTGTGGGTTTTGAAACTGTAATGCAAGACATACTATGAATATTTTCGACAGAAAGACAAATTATTTAGATTCAGTTCACATCAACATACTGTGCATAATGAAGAGAGTGTATATTTGTAAGTTTGAATTAATGAAACATGCAACAACAAAATATACTGTTTTTATCCCCCCCCCCCAGTCCTATAAAACAGAAGCATAAATGGAAATGATGTTTGAATTTAAGTTTTATGTCTATTCACTTCCGCTAAACAATCTATTTCCGCTGTCCTACTCTGTCCTACATCACAGAACAAAAAGAAGGTTACCTAAGAATTGATGCATTCATCTTTTAAACATGCAACAGAAAAGCAGTCATGCATAAAAAAGGGTACATTGGAAATAAATAGATCAACTTAAGTGCTAACAGCCAATCAACAAATTGAACATAATTTGAAGTTTTAGTAGAATGAGTTAAGAAAAAGGAAGCTTGGTTTCCGCATGAAAGAAAAGATCCGCTTGAAATGGTAGTCTTTCAAGATGTTTTATGGTATTTATGCGAATTCTGAAATGCTATAAATGTAAAAGTTACTTGAAAAGCTTTTTCTGCGTTGGTTTCTGTAATCACTCCTACTGCAGCATTTGCAGCCAATATCATGAGAATAACCTGTGCCCCATTAATTTCAAACAATAAATTTTTATTAAGTGTCTAAGACCGAGTTGTATCCCACGTGCTTAATCAACAACAAACATACAAAACAGTTATCATATATCATAAAATTCCAAGTCTTAACTTGTAAAGTTTCAAGTGCTCAACAAATTTAGAACAATGTATGTTTCAATACTTAAAAAAAAAGAAGACATGCATCAAAGACTTTTAGGTGGAAAAAATATGCATTGGCTGAAATAGAGATAATTAGGATTTAAAATGTTAAAAATTTTCTTTTTGGCTCATTAATTAGATGCAAAAGTGAGATTGTATGAACAATTTTACACCCGGAAACATGAACCACACAGAATCACAACTGATCTAACAATGAGAAAGTATATAAGACGAAACACTAACAGAAGGCTAAAACACTCTTTTAATTGATCTAACAATAGGCTAATAGGATTAACTAAAGCATTAGAGACTGCAACAATGAGAGTCTGAAGATTAAAGTTATTGTTGAATATCCTTGAAAACATTTTCAGTAAATCTGTTGAGAAAAATATAGAAACTTAGGATGCTATGCAATTCCATCATCCAGGATAGCACATATTTACCTGCAATCCAACCTTAAGCCAACATTTTTCTATCTATAGCATCCATCATCATACCTAACACATTTCTCAGTAGGGGCACATGAACAATCATAATTGAGATTTCATAAGTTTATTTTTTGTTAACTATAATGAAATTTATAAAACAATTTTAGCAAAACTCGAGTCTAGATAATGGAGTTTTGTTCCAGTTTAAAAAATATTGACTTGTGTTCTAAACAACATAATGCATTCACATTTCAATTGTCAAAGGGCATCATAATAATCCCCGATTAAAGATATTAAAAATCAGAACTTCTCTCCAAGTTTTCATTCAGTTTATTTCACTTGTCCATCAGAATTTTTTTCAAAGAATGATCAAATAAAGACAATAGCATGCCAAAGATTAAAAATCCTCATTTCAAACTTTGCTAATGCATAGCTATGTTTGGTTTTCTTCTCCAGAGACCAGACTGAGAGAGGAGTCAAGTTCTCTAGTACACCATAAATCTCCCGTTCGAGAAACCACCACCACCTCACTTGCCACTCCCTCGATGCACCAACTTGCCACCACCCTCATGTCTCACTCCCTCTCTATTACTCTCCCTATTTCCCTCACCTCTCTCTCTCTCTCTCTCTCTCTCTCTCTCTCTCTCTCTCGATACTGTTGCTCTGCACAGAAATAGCAAGGCGACGACCGTCGCCATTTTTCACGGAGAACTACGGCACCACGAAACCACCACCATTAATCTCGCCACCTACGTAACTTTTACCATCCCCGAACCAACCCTCTGCAAACTGCCCTTATCCCTTCTAATTTCAATTCTTGTGTTTCTTGTATGGTAACCATTTCTTGCACACTCAAATATTTATATACCAACTGAGAATAACAATATAAATCCCACACTTGAAAAATTCACCAAAAAAGCGACATTAACCACCATAGTTTAAGAATCCAAATCCCAAATTTCAATCTAGTTAATTAAATTACAGAGGATTCTATCTACCTCGTGAAAACAAATATGTTCAGTTAAAGAAATTCCCTAATCACTGCATCTTAAACTACTTCTTAACTATGTCAGCCATACCAATCTAATAAAAAATCCATGTTCAATCAATTCTTATTAATTCCAACTCCAAGTATTTCAGCATCTAGATTATAGAAAATCACAACAAAACAAAACTCAGAACACCCAGATTCCAATCTTGGTGCTAAAGCACACTTTGTTAACCTCACCTTCATCAAGTCCATGATTCCTGCCATGAGATCTTTCTCTCTATCCAGACTTGGCTTCAGCTACAAGATCAAAATAACAAAGCATTCAGTTCCTTTTCTATACTCATAAAATTAAAATTGAAATATGTTATAATTGACTCGGAATCTTCACATGTATTATGAAAGCATATAAACAGATACATTTGAAAACTTATAACTCTACCTACTAAATTTGAAAAGTAGCTAATTAAGATCAAGTTCTAGGCATCCAGTGAGCCTTCTAGGGAAAGATGGCCCCATGGACTTAGACTTTGAAAACTGAGGCTTGTTTTGCCTTGTAATTGTATAATCAGTAGCATCCTTATGGATTGCAATTGTATGATCAGTAGTATCCTAATGGATTCCCAGATTAATCCTCAAAATTTTGTTCCCATCTGTTAGCTTATGCACCTGGGATAAAAGCCACTCAATTGTTTCACTATTCTCCTTGTTTCTCCTTATCAACTCAGCCTGGTGCTGCATATTTTCGTCAATGAGCTCCGAGATCTTTTCGTGCAACATTTTATCTTTTTCAACCACATTACCATCACATTCTACACCATGATCAATATTCTCATCTTCCATATATTTTTTGAAAGTACACAAACCAACCTTTTTTAGGACATACCAGCATTTGTTTGTTTTGATGGCTCTGATTTTGGTTTCCATTTTCTCTTTTGTGGTGGTCTGGTCAAGATGCACTCCAAAACACTAATTTGAGTGCCTACACAGATGAACATTGCGTAAAAATCATAAAAAAAAAAAAAAATCCAAAACAGCAGCAGAGATAAAAAAAATGATAATAATTCTAAAAAAAATTAAATCAAAAGCTAAGACTAACTCACATGAAGCTCTGTAAGTTGATTTTTGGGCAAAAAAAATTCTATCAATGCATTCTCATACAAAAATTTCTTTAAATACTGATTTAATGCAGTCGAGGAGCTAAATGCTTAAATCAGAAAATTTCATCAACCAGATACTCCTATAATGCAGTGCAGCAAACTGTTTCTTGAACCTTGACGTATATCACTATAAAACTATCCCAAATATATCTCAGAGATTGCAGAAATTCAGACTATCAATAATGAGACAGCCGGAATGTTTTACCCTAATCTTCTTAGGATTTTAACTAAACAACTTGCTCCTGTAACAGCTATATTAAAGCATAAATATTCATGAACACTCATCACCAATAGCAAAAAGGCACAAAGTATTTTTACAGAAATCTAAAGATCCCTTTTATGCCCCAAACCCAGGTCTGTCCTCTCTTTGCCTTCCTCCTTCAGGGCATAATTAAAGATACCCACCAACAATATAACAAAAAAAATTGCAGTGAGATTTTAAAATACCAACTTTATTTGATATTGCAATGAAATATAACAAAAAGTAAAATAAAAACAAAATGTACAAAATTCATTATTTTTGTAAATTAGTAGTGGAATAACAGAAGAAGCCAAACCCAGAAAAATTAAAAACACAGAATCACAGTAGGAAACACACCATTTTAGATCCTTTTATCCTCTTCGAAGATCGATCGATTCCATAGAGAGAGAGAGAGAGGAGGAGGAGGGAGACGAAGAAGGGGAGAGGAGGTAGACGGAGGCGAGAAGAGGAAAACGACGGAGGCGGTTTACCGGAAGCATGTCTTGTCTTGTGTTGCTAGTCAATAAGTCAGTGTAATCCTCACAAAATCGCTCACTCCATCGGGTCAGTGACAACCTCCCCCAATTTTCTCCCTCTCAATCTTTCAATCACCGACAGCTACCCATTAATTTAGGCTTCTATTGGCAACCCCACTTAGTGGGAAAAGGCTTTGTTGTTGTTGTTGTTGTTGGCAATTTTGACACATCCCTCAATCCCGACACCAACCCTTGATTTGAGGAGAAAAAAAAATCAACCATAACCCCTTTTTATGGCAACCTCACTCCTCCCTCTCCATTCCCCTCCCTGCCATCCCCCACCTATCTCCCTCTCTTTGTCTCTGCAGCCCATGCTTTTTGGCAATGGCAGGAATGTAAATAATACAAAATCGAGGGTCCAACGCATGTTGATATGTCATCGTGATTTCCAATTGAACCATGAATTCCAGAATGTAAATCATACCTTGAGTATAAGAAAACCCAGAAAAGGAAAATTAAATCCCTCACAAATGGTGCAAGAAAATATGAGAAACCTATATTAGTCCCAACGGTGAGAGTTTTCATCAAAGAAGTAGACAATCCACATGCTAAATCACCAATCAAACATGAAGATGATCACAAAGAAGAAATCCCTAAAACCAATATTTTATTAGAGTTTAAAATCGAAATTAAGCAAAACGAAACCTACACTACCCAAATTAAGCTAAAAATTCACTAACCCAACAAAAAGGCAAAGAAAATCACCTCTAGATGACTGCCATTGATTCAATGCAAAGAGAGCTTAAGCTGCTTAATATTGTTCTGAAATTAGAGAGAGGGTGTGAGAGATCATGAGAGGACGGAGGGGCGAATGGCAGAGTGAGATTCAGCGCGTCTCTTCTCTGCATATAAAAGATGCCGCACAATTATGCAACTTACTCCGTAGACTTATTTATAAACATCACAGTTATAAATTCTGAAACTGATATAAATTGAACAGACAATACACAAAGCATAAACAAATTCAGCAAATGAACACCAAAACTTACCAAACTCATGTGCTTGCTTGAAGCTGTTTTTGATCATTTTTCTACAATCTACTGCATAAAAAGGACCAAACTATAACGGCAAACTATATATATAATTTGCTGTAATACCCCAAAAAATTAAATTAAATTAACATTTGAGTGGAAGCCACGACCAAAGTGGTAAAATTCAAGAAAACATCAAAATCCCAAAAAAAAAAAACAAATTCTTTCAGAAAAAATCAAAGAAATTTACTCAGGTAATCAATCAATTATGTACCTAATTCCCCAGATGTCTTGAATAAATATAACACTCCAAGATAAATTAACTACCCAATATTAATTTTTCCTGTTTCTTTCTTCTTATTCTCGAGAAAGAAACAAACCCAAAAACAAATAATTGAAGAAAACATACAGAAAATATTGGGGAGGAGTAACATACAATCTGCTGAGTTCTTCTTCGCTTTGTAGATAAGGGATGGTGGCTTCTCATCGAGTTCATGTATGTATTGCCTGGAGTGAGATGGTGAGCGGGCGTGAGAGAATAGGGTAGTGAGAGAGAGAGTCGGGAGAGAAAAAGAGGGAAAGAAATGGGGATGGAAACAGTCGAAATGTAGTCGAAGCAGAGCAATCCACGATGACTGATGCGTGGGCGCTTTTAAACTATGCAAAAGCGGTGGTAATTTTGTAAATAAATCGAAATTTTCAATTTGCAGTGAAGGGATGATGGTAATTTTGTAAATAACTCCAAATCCACTCCAAGTTACTATTCATTTGTACAGTGCAATTGAAAAGCCTTCTTTAGACTAAAGTGACTAGAAAATAGGCTCGCGCGTTGCAGCAGGACCTGAATAAATTCAATGCAATCATGAATGAATAGAGGGACAAAAAACGCAACCAATAAGCATTTAGACAATGTTTTAGATAAAAATTTGAAGCGATAGTCGATAAAGAAAATACAAAACATTTTTTTATGAGTTAATGATTCTTGCGGGTTCAATATAAACATCCATGAATTAAACTTAATTTTTTATGAGTTAATGATACTTGCAGGTTGAATGTAAATATCCATGAATTTTGCTGAACATGTAAGCTACGTTCATGCATTGTTAAAAAGCCACTCATTTTCTTAAATATGGAAGTTGTGATTTGTTTAAAAATATTTATGGTTCGTTGAGAGAGCGCAGTTATCAACAACGCATATTAAAGCACTTCGGGAAGAATGAGAAAGTTCACTACCAGAGCCTTGATTCAAGTGCAATCGCTCCGGACCCCTAGATCAAAGGCAGCAGCAAGAGTAGATCATGATGTTGCGATGATAGTCCGATCTAAACTACAAAAAAATCAATGAGATTCAAAGTAAGAGTTCAAAGCGCAAATAAACGGACACAGGAAAATACCTCAATCTGTGACAGTGCAACAAACTTAATCTAGAACAGAATTACATTTCAAGAAAGAAAAGCAGCTAATAACAGGAAGGTATCATTTGTCATCATGACCTTTTTTGCATTCAACTCTTCCATATGAGATGATAGATTATCTAAAAATAATAATTGAGACCTTCCAACAAACACAAAAACATGCTAAAACAAAAAATTTGTACCACTCATCCCCACCCATAAAATGCATTGAGGCCGTGGCATGAACTTAATCCATTGCAGAATGGTGATACTAAGACTCCCTCTAACGATCCAAATTTCTGAAAATCACAAACACAGCCATCAGTACTAAGTTACATGACAACAACGAAAATAGGTTACAAACAGTGTTGAAAAACCATTAACACTAATCACACAGTGCCGGAATAGAGATCATAACAAAGCTACACCACTCAAATGACAAAATAACCAGACACCCATCCATTTTCTAAAGTGACCTCAATGATTCCTTCTTTGATAAAAAAAATTATGGCCTCTGCTCAATTTAAACGCATCACACTCAACATACACATTTTAAAACAAACAATAACAATCACAAAAGAACCAAGAGTGATGGCATAAAAATCTCAAGCATGTGGCGTCATCTGTCAATGAACAAAAATCAGATGCATCATGTATTCTAGAGGAATAGATAACTGAGAATTCCATTCACAGGGTTACCACCACAACAACAAACAATAGAAGCATGAACAAACATGCAAAACACATATAGTGTGGTTTTTGTAGAGAGGTTGTAACACTGAAAAACCAGCAGAGCAAGAGGAAAAAGAAAAATGGAGAGCAAGGTGGTCGCCAAAAGAGAAAACCAGAGTTATCAAATAGCAATTAGCACAAAATATCTTTCTTAGCTCTCCTAATTTAATAATTTAAAAGCATTTGTTGTACTCCAACCAAAAGGTGGAGAACTGAACCACAACTGAACAGTGAACAAACCAGAAGGAAAAAAAAATGCCTCTTCAATTAGGATCAAACCACAACTGTGCAATATAATTGGTTTCTAAATCAATTGGACATTAGTAATGCCTTTCTTCATGGAGACTTAAAGGATGATGTCTACATGCAACAACCCCTTGGTTTTGTTGACCCCTTACATCCTACCTCTGTTTGTAAGTTGAGGAAATCCTTGTATGGCCTCAAACAAGCTCCTTGAGCTTGGTTTGATATACTGTTTCAAGCTCTTCACTCTCTTGGGTTCACACAATCCTCATCAGATGCTTCTTTATTTGTTCTCAATGGTCCTCAGTTAGTCATTATTCTTGTCTATGTTGATGATATTCTTGTCACTTGACCCTCTCCTCAACTTTGTCAACACTTTATTCAGCAACTAAGTGCCCAATTTCCAGTCAAAGACCTTGGTCCTCTACATTATTTCTTGGGTTTAAAGGTACAGAGATCTTCACAGGGCATATTTCTCTACCAAACCAAGTACTTATTGGATCTTCTCAAGAAGACAAACATGGAGGGTGCAAAACCTTGTTGCACTCATCTTGGTTCTCAGAAACTAGATCACAGTGGGCCTCTCTCGTCCAATCCCACTGAATATCGTTCCATTGTTGGTGGTTTACAATATCTCACTTGGACTAGATCGGATCTTGCCTTTGCTGTGAACTAAATCTGGCAATTCATGCATGCTCCCAGGGAATAACATCTTCAGGCAGCAAAAAGGGTTCTCAGGTTTCTCAAAGGCTCTATTTCACATGGTTTGTGGTTTACTAAAGGTCTTGTCTACCTTTCAGCATACTCTGATGCTGATTGAGCTGGCTGCACATTTGACAGGCGATCAACCACTGGTTATTGTGTCTTCCTGGATTCTAATCTTATCAGCTCATCTACAGAGGCTGAATATTGCTCCTAAGCTCACACAGCTGCTGAAATCACTTAGGTTTGTAAGATTCACAAAGATCTACACTATCCTCTATCTACATTGCCTACTCTTTGGTGACAACATATCAGTAATATCATTAGCATCTAATCCTGTCTTTCATCCGAGAACAAAGCATGTTGAGATCAATTACCACTATATTAGAGAATTGGTTCTAGCAAAACTCCTCAAAGTACAGTTTGTTTGCAGTGAAGACCAATTAGCAAATCTTCACACCAAGTCCCTTTCTAAAAACATATTCACCTATCTGTGCTCCAAGCTTCCCATTGGAGTCATTTCTGATTTCCCTTCTAGCTCGAGGGGGTGTATTAGGGAGAATGACAAGTCATCCAATTCTGTCACTGTTAACAATTCTGTTATTGTTAAATAACTGAATGTAATTAGTTGTGAATAGTTAGAAAGCTAGGGGTATTAATGTAAATAGCCAAAAAGGCTATATATACCTACACAATGTGTAAAGTTATCATTCAGTCAATACAATTGAAAACTTACAGAGGAAGTTTTCTGTTTCTTTAAGTATTTTCTGTAGAAACCTGCTGGAAAAAAAATTGATGTAGAAACCTGTGAAAAGCTCAATGCAGGCATCTCAACTCAATTACTACAAACCCTATTCAAGGTGAAAGCTGTTGTACACTATGGAATTGCAGGAAATGCAGATCCCCAACTACAAATTGCAGATGTCACCATCCCTCAATTTTGGGCTCATACAGGCCTTTGGAATTGGCAGGTATAAAACACTAATTTTCTTTAGAAAATTGGCTTTTGTTTGGTAATCTTTTTTTAATCCCAGTTAATTGAATATCCAATTAATGGAAAAATGTTTTTGTACCAAACCCCATTCCAATTGAATGGTTGGTGTATTTGTTTACGACATTTGAATTGGATGATTGATTTATTTGTTCCAAACCCCAATATAATAATATTTGTATTTCTGCCCATTTATGGATGATTGGTGTAGCTGCTATGATTGTCAGATTGTGTATGTTGGTTATTGCTTAACTGAGCAAATAAAGTCAGCAAAAAAGTAGATGCTATGTCAGTGTATGTCAATGGGGAGTGTAGCTATGAAATATATGATTACATTGATCAGAGATGATGAGTATAACTGAGCAGTATGTTAGTGACTCAGTGTAGATGCTATGCTTTGAATTTAGTGAGTTTTTTTTTGGGCAAGGGTTTTCAAGTTTTTTTGTTGAATTTCTCTTGCTTCATTTAATTTTTTTAGATGCACAAGAGTAGAAACCTTCCGTACAGAAGCTTCACATCCTCCCTTAACAGTTTGTGTCTTTCTGTCAAAATTATTCATGTCTTCCCGTATTACGGTATCAAAAAGGATTTCCATATTGTCCCCAGTCAATCCGAGGGTTCTATTTGATCTCTAAGAATTGTGGGAAAGAACAGGCAAATGCATCTAGACGGGTTGTTTGGTGGTTAGGAGACTTGAAGGGCCAATGGAGGCAGTCTATTCTTCCCATATTTTCTTTTTTTGGTTAGTATATGCAGCTTTAATGAAATGACGTTATATCAACGTAATCTCATTGTTGGATTTTATTCAGCGTTGGTTTTGATATGATAGTATCCTGTTAACTATCCTATGGAACAAAGTTCACAATTTCTCATATTTAGACTCAAATGCTAATAGATTCTGAGTGGTTTTTAATCTTTGATGATCTGGCATCCGATTTGTAGATTTCTCTTATGCCGAGTTTTATCTTTCTTATGTTGTTTTGTTTTTAAATTAATTTTTTTGGAATTTTCAGAATTTTGGGTCGTTGGAGGCAGAA